TTCGGAGCTTTCTCAGCCCGCCCGTTCAAATGCCGTGGAAATAAACTAGCGCGAAGAGGGGTGTGAGAGGAAATTGCTGAAACGTTAAGACGATCGTTTCACGGGTAATTGCGAGGCTAAGGAAAGGATGCCTCGATAATGGCGATCGATCGGTCGCTCATTAGCCTGCGGAGCGACGCTCCGCGAATTTTCTCACGGCTCCGGCGTTCGTCACATAGCCATTTACCCCGGTTCCACTCATACGGTCGACTAACGAGTGTTTCTAAACGCCAGACGATAAGTCTCCCACGCCGTGGTCGTGCCAATTTAATTCGAGTTTAATGTCGTTTCACGGGAAATCGGATCGGAGCATCGATCGTGTCGTGTCCCGAAAAACTTCCAACGAGGACGATTCTTCGCCGATTCTCGATTATCCCCGATTATATGCGCTTAGGGGACGGCGATAAAATTCCTATTTCTCTTAAAATCAACGATAAATTAAAAAGAAAAATAGCGCACATTATTAACGTTCTCTGTTCAGAGTTCTATATCTATTCAGAAAATGGTAGAACTTGAAAGGAGGACCATTTTTGGCCATTTTCTCTCGATTATCACCAATTTCGCTTAACACGTTCACTGCCGCGCTCATTTTTATATCGCGAGCTCAGGGAACCGAGATAAAATTCCCATTACTTCTAGAATATAACGATAAATTGTCAAAGAATATTCCAAGGAAAAGAAGAGAAAAATAGTGCAAATTATTAACGTTCTTTGTTAATATTGTTAAAAATTCTACATTTATTTACGCTGTTGAAATTTTGCAAACGCGGTTGAAAGAAAATATATATAAATTAAAAAATTGATCGCCGCTGACTGGTGACCACCATGGCCGCAGTGACGAGATGGTCAATGATGAGCACGGTGACAATCAACGTGTTAATAAAGGATTTTCGTGGAATTTTCGTCGGCGAAAAATCGGCCAACGAATAATATTTCGGGGCAACGGAGCGATAAAAGCCCGAATAACCTTTCCCATTGGATACCGATAATGACTCGCGTTTAATGAAACTGGAGAACACGCGAAGCGAATTAAACGGGAACGAGGTATAGCCGCGTTTTTTCCACGAACAACGCGAACTTTCCTGATAATAATACTCGCGCTCGAAACGATAATGACGATCTTCCGGGAGCCATTGCAAGTTTCAAGTCGGAGCTGGAATTTAATCTGCGAGGCCAAACGGAACGAGGAGTTTCGATTACTGCTTCCAGGCTTTGACGATCGTCACTGTACCAAATTGCTGATTAAACGCGGCAGTGATTAAACGATATTACAAGACCTCCCAAAATCGTTTCGGAATAATTCTGATCTTTCGTGTTGATAATTTCCGGGTTTCAATAAATGCAGATTTCCGAGGTAAATTAGCGTTCCGTCTGTTAACGAACGGGATTTACGCGCGTTCCACGCGATTATGGAAAATACCCTTTTAATGGATTACCCTTATCGTCCTCCAAATAATTTACAATTTAGCAATGGTTTATCTATCGAGCTGACGAGACCCACATACACAGTTCAGCCACATCTCTTCATGGTCACATCAATAGCCGCTAGGAAAATTCTGAAAGCTACGCGCATCTCGCAACCTGTTACTTTCGACGAGTCACGTCAATTTTTACAATTTTAAAAGGATAGATAACGATTAATTTTTACTGCAATTCTCCAAAGTGACATCGTACGTAGAACACATTACAAATATGCTTAAAGGAAAAATTAAAAATACAGAATCGAACTGGATTTCGAGCACACGAGTCTGAAAGCGGAACAACGATACGCCTATTCGAGGACATTTGAAAATGGGTGCTGGGTCGTGACACTGAAACATTGCTGCGTACTCGCGAAAATGAATCGAGACTGATATTTTTTGTTCGTTACAGCAGCAGGAACGAGCTTATGCAAAATAGCGAACCGTGCCACGCATAAAGCGTGCCATTTTCACGGTACCAACTTCCTTCAGTGGGGCAAGCGAAAAAGAGGAAGCAAGCTCAACACTAGATTTACGTATGTTGATTATATAGTGAGACAATTAGATTCATTCTTTTTCGCAATGAAAATAGTTGCAAATCGATTTAAATGGAAGATTTATTATTAAAAAATTAATTGAAAATATTTTTGACATATAAATTCTGTTTTTGAAATGCATTTTTCGCAAACATTTGGTACAAAGGCTCTTACATTTATTTCTATTCCATGATTCTTGAACTTGACAATTTTTTCGTGTATCAATAGTATGAATTTTTGTCATTGTATGAGAGGAGAGACAAATCATGCAAATTGCCAAAGCCTGATGTAAGCTATAAATTTCACGCGTTATGCGATTAATTGTTAAATCATATTACGAGTCAAATTGACTCACAGCCGTGAAAATAGGTATACCATATTCGATAATGCGAAATGAAGGGGTCTGTGGAGGAGGGGAATCAACATTTACATATATTTAATTACGTACCTAAAAGCCAACATATATTTTTAAAAAATAATATTGAAATTTGATTTATTTATAGTAATCAAATCTTTAACGAGTCAAATTGGCTCAGTGCGTAAATCTAGCGTTAACAGAGAATCTCCTTTATGAAATCCACAGAGGAATCTTACTCTTGCGTCGTTCTCGAATGAAACACGCAAACCGGACAACTTACTAACGATGAAGATTAAAACAGGAAGACCGGAGAATTTATCTAGTTTGCCAGACGGAGCTTGTAAACACAGAAACTTCACTGAAACTCCACTGAAACTCCATTGTGTAAGAGTTCATCTGTAAGAGTAACACTGAGGTGACCGACAAAGCGGTGTATGTGGCGCGGAAACCGTGGCAAATAATTCGAACCTTAGATAAGGAGACGAGTGTTTGATTTCCTCGACCGCCATTAACTGTTTGAGGCATTTTGAAGAAAGTGGAAATACATGTACAGAATTACAGAATGGGACGTACGTGATTCTGTCATGCTACTGTTTTAAACGAGAGTCAATGAAACGCAACTTGTTTCCAAAAGAAAATGGCGCTCTGCAAACAGTACAGCACCAACTAAGTAGGTGCCCACTATCGTTAAATTTTTGAGGTTATTATTATTAAAATATATCCAATGAATTTAACAAGAAGCTAAGCAAAAGGTGGGCAGTTTTTAACCCATCTAACTCCACTGGCCCGCTCTATTGGCCCTAAAACCGTCAAAGTCTGGGGATCGGTGACGGATCGAGCAGTGAAGCGACCAACAACAGAGTTCAAACAATTGAACACGTTTACCAACGGGACACGTATAGTCCCTCAGGGTGCACCAGGAGTCGTTTACCATCACCCCGTAAACATTCGGACCTGCAGGAATACCTGACGCAGTTTTGCGTCGAGTTGCCGAGTTTCTGGACCCGTTTGTTCGGCTTACCAGCGCGATGGCGAGCCTGCGGTTGTCCGAAACGCTGCAACTCCCGAGTCATGGGTCTGCAGGGACCATCGTAACGTCCATAGCAATCTGTCCTTCCGGTTCTCATCCTGGACCATGTTCGCCAGTTGTCAACGAGACTCTGTGTTCTCGATGCGATTATCCTGTTAAGAGAGACGTTCACGAGAGCTTCGTTGGCATAGGTGTGTTTAGAAAGAAAATGGTTCCAGGGAACTATGGAGTAAACCTGATGGCGTATGTTTATTCGAGTCAGCGTTTCGTGTCAATTAGAGGTATGTGTTTAGAAAGAAAATGGTCCCAGAGAACTATGGAGTAAACCTGATGGCGTATGTTTATTCGAGTCAGCGTTTCGTGTCAATTAGAGGTATACCGAATGCGATGCAGAGTACACATGTTGAACGAGAAAAACTAGTCGTACGTATGCATCGCTTGCATACGTTGTAGCATAGATATACAATTGATTAATTAATCGTGCTGAATATTCGAACGTTTGACGTTTGCACGAGCAAATATGTCATCTGAAATAACAGTTGCACCGTTTCGGGAATGTTTCGCGTTACCAGGTAACGAAAATTCGTTTAACCGTGATCCCGGAAACGATACAATATGCGAGAAAACGTAGATGCAACGCGGAAAAGTATTTAGAAGATAAAGCCGAATAATCGAGAGCGTATATGAAAATCGATGCGATTGAAAATTCCCGAACACTTGGCTCTCCAAGATACACCCCAACTATCAGTCCGATAAAAGCACCGGTATATACAGCGCGCAAATTGATTCCATTGTTGCGGATAATCGGGTCGAAACCGCCCTTCGATCCTCCACCCTCGAAATCTCTCTGACCTAAAAGTTTCCCGGTGAAAAGGCAAGAGAATTAACGCATAGCCGCGCGTACGGCCTCGTAAATCCGGAAATTCCTTTGAATCCCGCAAACTATTCGAAAATCACCGCTCCAGGAAGATCTACGTCCGCGAAAGTAGGCTAACGCGCGCGTTTAATCGACGCCGATGGAAGATGTAATCCGTGCACGAGTCACAGCCCCCGTTGACCCGTAAAAAGTCCCTCTCGATCGGCGAAACTAGCCCGTTCGTCTTGGAGTCGGTGAAAAATCTGAAAATTCGACTTTTCCTCTGTTCCAGATTCGTTCCACTCGGAAGGAGGCGAGCAAAAGGAAGCGCGCACCGTGTGCTTCCGGGTTATCGCGTGCCCGGAAGCACGATCGTCTCACGGCTGACGGAATGACGTCGGCCCCAACCCCCGTATCGTCGTGGTCGTCGACGCAGCGATCCTCCACCGTGTGTCCGGTGATTCCCGATAGAATACGAAGAACGCGCATTTAACCGGTGAAAGACGATCCAACGTCGTATCTCACCCTTGCACGAGGAAGACCCGTGGAAGGGAGAAAATTGCCGAGTTCCCCGGCGATCTTTCTTTCGCGGTGAGTGATTGCAGCCGGATTTCTGACTCGGTCCTTCGGGATCCGCCACGTGGAAAAATCTGCGCGAGAAGTTGCTGGAAAGGAGAGATTTACGAGAGTACCGACGAACGCGAAGACTGGACAGGGGGAAATGGAGACGGTAACGAACACCACGATACTAAGTACCACGAGCATCGTCGACTACGCTCGTGAGGTGAGCCAGGAGGACTCGATGATCCAGAACTGCGAGGCGGATCTGCCGATCGTCTCGCTGCTCAATCAGATCCTCTACTCCATCGTCTGTATCGTCGGTCTCCTCGGGAACACTCTGGTGATCTACGTGGTGCTGCGGTTCTCGAAGATGCAGACGGTGACCAACATGTACATCGTGAACCTGGCGATAGCCGACGAGTGCTTCCTCATCGGGATACCGTTCCTGGTCACCACGATGAGTCTACGCAGTTGGATCTTCGGGAAAATAATGTGCAAGGCGTACATGACCACGACCAGCATCAATCAATTTACCAGTAGCATTTTCCTCTTCATCATGAGCGCCGATCGTTACATCGCCGTGTGCCATCCGATCTATTCGCCGAAGATTCGCACGCCGTTCATCTCCAAGATAGTTTCTCTAACCGCCTGGGCCACTAGCGCCCTCTTCATGATCCCCATATTCCTCTACGCCAACGCGATGGAGTCTCAGAAGGGAATCAACTGCAACATCTACTGGCCGAACGACCGCGAAGGCCACGCCACTTTCACCCTGTACACCTTCATCCTGGGCTTCGCCATTCCGCTCACCCTCATTCTGATCTTCTACTTCCTGGTGATCAGGAAGCTTCAAACGGTTGGCCCGAAGAACAAATCGAAAGAGAAGAAACGATCTCATCGCAAAGTGACCAAGTTGGTACTCACTGTGATCACAGTGTACGTTCTATGCTGGCTGCCCTACTGGCTCATGCAGGTGGCGCTCATCTACACTCCGCCTAAGCAGTGCCAGAGCAAGATCTCCATCACCAGCTTCCTGCTGGCTGGCTTTCTCAGCTACAGCAATAGCGCGATGAACCCTATCCTGTACGCTTTCCTCAGCGACAATTTCAAGAAAAGCTTCCTAAAAGCGTGCACCTGCGCTGCTGGCAGGGACCTAAACGCCACGCTGTACATGGAAAACAGCGTGTTTCCGCGCAGGAACAGGATGAACGCGGAAAGGCTTCAATCGAATCGACTAGCTGCATCCGGTCACTCGAGGCTGGAGCTGGAAGACGAGGACGCCGAGAGGGGATTATTGATGAGCAAAACATCCACGACAACGGTGACCATGACGTCACGATCGAACATCACCATAGGCAACGACCCGAAGGATCAAGCGCAGAGGGAAAAGGACGCGATGAAAAATGGAACACAGATGACGCTCTTGACGCAAGTGTAAACAGGACAAAATGGAGAACAAGAGGAGACAAAGATAACGATTCAACGAAACGAAAACGACGGGCTAAAAGTGGCCTCTCGCATCTCTCTTCCTCGTCGCGATGACCAATGAGCCTAGGATTCATCGGACGAGGGGAGGATGCTTTTACGAACAGAATATCCACGTTTTCGCAAGAATTTCTGGATGGTACTAAAACTAGTTCGACAACCGAATACCGTGTCATAGCTCATCGAATCTTTCCCGACTCTCCTCGCGATCGTGGTGTCAAAGTTCGAGCGTTAACCAACTTTAAACGTCCAATCCTGTGCTCGTCCCGCTCATCTGATTCTTTAGTTACCGCAGTCTACTCGATTCCGAAGATTCGTGGATCGGAGGTGGTTGGCAGTCGGCTGAGGAACGAAATCGAGCGTTTCTTGACCCGAGATGCACGTGCCGTCTTGTTCTCGGATAAAGGGAACGGGTCGAGAGCGTGTCCATTTCGCTTACTTAGCTCTGCCTGCAACAGCAGCCGGGAGAATAGACGAGGCCTGGATCCTGACAAATGTAGAAACAGGATATCTGGAAGAAGGATTACCAAGGAAACCAACCTCGATCCCGTTCACTTTTTCGTCGCAGTGAAATCACGCAAGCGTTCGGATACGGAATCGATACGGACGTTGGAGGCAAGGAAAAACGAATGGTCCCCGTGCCAAAGAGCAACTATTTCCGCGACACGTTTCCTCGTTGCGGAGAGAGAGGTGCACAAAGGAGCGTGTCTTATCAGCGATAGTCCTACGTCTTGGCGGAGAAGTCCGTTCGATCCGTGGCTAAGATCGATCCTACGTACCCCGAAGAGGAGAACGAGTTTCCCTGGAGACTGGCACAGCCTCCTTTCGTATTTTCTTCCTCGATGACCTCTTCCATTATTCCAACCTGCACGCCCTCTTTCCTCGTTCGTGACAAGGCGTGCATTGTACGGAAGGGAAATCGTGGCGAGGATCAAGATGAAATTGTTTCGGAGGCCCTCGAATAGGTATCTCGCGAGGAATCGTGACGCTTCGCGGCCGCGTTTGGTGATTTATCGGTGTATTTCCATCGATTTATCTCGCGGAAACGTTTCGGCGTTCAGCTCTGACCCGCGAGACGACCACGCACCATGCTACGGGGAACCACCGACTCTTTGTGCGATGTTTTTCATTGATTTTTAGATACCTACTATCGCTGTGGCGTGAATCTTTGTTTCAGAATTCTTATTAAGTATGCGCACAAGACGAATGTACTTCATCGAAGCGTACGTGTGTAGAAAACATCGTTTAAGCTCTTGGACGTTTCGACGTGCGAATCATTATGCTTAAGGAACGAGAAAGCGATTCCTGATCGACCTGGTCGAATTTTCAAGACAGTTCCCAGTTTTTCCGTCAGTTTTGGCAGTGTATATCTCGTTGCAGTGGCTGCCACGATAATTTGGAAAAATTCGGGAAAATTCAAGGAAATTCGACGAAGCCGAGGAAGGGACGAGTCGTTGTTCTATCTGTCAATTGCCGCGCGATGGAAGTAGGAGAAGAATGAAAATTGTCGGCTGTATTAATTTTCTCTACCTAATGTAAGACGTGTAAAGCGAAATAGCGTAACTAGCGTGTAAGTGTATAAAGTTTGGAGAATTGGGCAGAATCGCGCTCGCAGGTGATACACGGAGGAATCGAAAACGCGAATAAAAGGGCCGATCGATCTCGTTTGAGGAACAACGCGCAATTCCAGGAATCATTACACGCTGGCTTTCAATAAACGCGAGATATCCGTGAGAAGTGGGAAATAGTCGCGCTGATTGTCCCGCGTTCGCCTTCCAATCAGGCATCCTTTTGAACTGCCACGAGTCTTTCGTTACTAGTCGTCATTCCAGCAGGATTTCCCTGTTTCGCAAATTTCAAAGTCCGACGCCGTAATCTTCCAGCCAAATTACTCCCTTGAATCGAGAATTCGTTGTCGTTAACTATTCCTGCATCGCAACAATTTCATGTGCCTCGAGAGGGATGAAATTCCAATCGGAAAAAGAGGATTCTTCTCGTATATCACGTTTGTCAAAAACAGCTGAGATTTTAAGAGAAAATTTCCAATTTTATTTCGTTTTTTTCCAATTTTATTTTATCTTTATTCACCTATAGGTTAGGTTCGGCTCGTGAGCTTGTAACCAAATTATTATTTCGGAATTGCCACCTGTTCGAAAATAATTTCCGAAAATTTGCATTTCGTGTTCCATCGATTTAAATAAACGCACGGCTTTTTATTTTCCCGCAAACGCACGGTTTACGCCAAATTCGAAACTCCTGACCCGATTTACTCCATTTTTCCATTTTTCGGGAAACGTTCTCCATTCAACGTGCCTCCCACGCAGTGAAATTTCGTCCGGGAGAGAACTCTGGCATTTCTAAAGAATTTTACGTTTGCAGCTTCGAAACAAAAGTTCCCCAAATGCCCACGAAAATTCTCGAATTTCGATTTATTTCGCTCCACGCTATACACTCCTAATCGAACTCTTAAATAACCTCGTCGTCGACTGCTACGTTGTAGAATTCGATGTATCTCGAAAGAAACGAAGTTTGGACCAAAACGAAAAGATTCCGGTCCCTTTAAGATCCACGAAAAATTTCCAATTGCCATTTACTTGGAGCTACACGATGAAGGATCTACATGGACACGGTACCAGGTGTCATATTCGAGCTGCCAAACCAGAATCGACCGGCCTTGGAAGTTAACGCGTAGACAATGACACTAGGTCATGGACTGGAGGAAACCGCAAACTGAGCCGAACGTTCCGTTTTGGAAGCTCGGTTATTACAGCGACCGCGTAAAAGGAGAGAGCTTAGGGCTGTTTGCGCGTGCTCGAGCGGAGCCTGTCGTAAAACGAGCTTCAACGTATCACGTGCGAGAGCAATTTGTTTCGGCTCGCTAATTCCAGTCCACACACGTGCTCGCGGTAGCCGCGAAACGAGCAGCAACACCAGCCATTACGTGGCCTGGTCGTGGCTAATTCCCGCGGGGTTGCGTTCGAAAAGAAAGAGCGCGAACGACGGTGTAGAAACACGGTCTGGAAATTGCGAGAAGGAACTTCCCGAGGCTGCCGAGCTCGCGAGCGATCGCGGAATATTTCTCTTTTCTAATTACGCGTTAAGTACACCTGGATGATCGGATTGTCGACGCGAACAAACGAAGCGATATATACCGGAACGAAGTTCTCGAAAGTTTGGGATCGAGTCTTATCGCGTGGCCAGCTGGGAGTAATTCCTCTCGGCCAGTTATCTACGCCGGTCTTTATTTGACAATTTAATCCGACACGATATCGCGATCACCGATAACCGTGCACTTATACCGGAAAAAAATTAGACGTCTGCGATAACGCCGATCAGCGAGTGCAAGTTAAATATCGGAAGCACTCGAAACAACAGCAGAGAGTTTTCGAAACTTCGCACTGGAACTTGTCACCTCGACCTGGTGATTCGGCGTTTCATCGCGATACTCGGGAAATGTAGGAATTTCCAGGGCAGAACATTCTTTAACCACCCGGGGCTAGAGATGATATCTCAACATCCGGCAAAGCAAACCCTAAATATTTGACGCGACCAGCTCCAAAGGGGATACAATATCCCGCGAAAGATAATCTCGTTTTACCTACTTCCTGTGTATATTCCAGAACGACCACCAGAGATCACCAGCCCTGAGCAGCCAACGAGAAAACGCAACATAGTGGCTCGTGATGGAAGATTCGGGAGAATGCAATCGTGTTTATCGGATCGGACCATCTGGCTACCTACAACGTTTATAATCCACCGTCCATTACGAGATTCCTGCCGTCGAATCGTAGATCGAAATCGGTACTAGAGCGTCCGGGGATAAGTCAATTGTTATTTTACGAATAATTTCGTTATTTCGCGTCTTCTCGAATACTCGACGACCTGTTCCAAAGTGACTCTTGCTTAGCAAAAGAGCCATTCGCAGTACGAGATTAGAAACGCGCATCTCGCTGGCGTATTAGCGTTAATTGGGTACAAACAATTAGCGTCTGCTCACTAGAGGGGTGTGAATCGAGCAATCAAACGAAATGGAAAATTTCATCATTGCGGTGGATTTATTTCGCTCGTGTTCCGCCCCGCTTTCGCCCATTCGCTTCGTTATTCCATTTCGCGATAATAATTTTTACTACAAACGAAAGCGTCCACGATATCCCTTTATGGCCGGGGAAAAAACAGTCGCGCGTTACATCGGCGTGATTCAGTGATAAATGAAGAGCTGGTTAACCACAGCGATTTTCTCTGGAATATTATCTGTACCAATTTTCCCATTCTAGTTTCGCTCTGTCACGAGAATTAAATACAATTTTCTCTCAATTCCCGGTTACCAACTGTTTTCGAGCAACCGCGTGGTTGGTTAAAAAATAACGTGGATGTTGGTCAGGATTGCAGAGGTGCGGGAGAATGGCGAAGAGGGACAACGAAACGCTTTCACGAATTCGCCCTGACATCCGCTGGGAACATCCTCGATCGAACATCCCCATAGTTTCCCACTTCTTTCGCCTTGTTTATTTATCACAGCCTCTGCTGCTTTGACAGGGTTCCTTCCGCAGGAGGCGAGGTAATACCGAACCCTGGTCTCATAACTTGCTCGCTAAGCCCGACGATACCTCTATATATCAGTCTGATAATGTTTCTAATATCGCTCTAAAGCATTACAGACTCGTATTACACGGTTTCTCACCGAGCTACGTCCCCCAGGGTAGATTTTACGTGTTCGCGCGGAATGACAACCCTCTTTGACGGATTCCCAGACGCAAACTTGTCCTGACGAACGTCGGACCGCCATTTTTCCGATCGTGGTGATAGAAGAACAAGTGACGAGAAGGAAATAAACGTGGGTAAATAAAGTTTCAGCCTGTTTCTCTGTCGAAATCAAGTGGATTGCATAAATCTCCAACAACCTCGCGACAAGTCGCGCAGTAAAGGGGTTGTTTCCCAAGAAGAGGGCTACAC